AACCAGTAGTAAAACCAGCAGGAGGCCCCACCCACCGACCTCAACGTCACCAAAATTCTTCTGCGCATGCACAGAACCTTCTGTGCATGCTCAGAAGAGCGCGGCCCCATTGCGAACCGGTAGTAAAGGTAAGTAGAACCCAGGTAGTAAAGGTAAGTAGAACCCAACCCTGGGGTGCATGCGTGGGGGACACACGCAGGTTAGAGCCTGCGTGGGCGCTTTGGGCACTCAATACGGAAAAGGTTAGCCATCACTGCCAGCTGTCAACACTGCCAGCTATAGAATATTACGAGAAAATCTGTTTTTAAACCAAGAAAGTCCTTGATTTGAATTTCCCTTCTGCTGTAAGCTTGTTGAACTAAGAATATCTCCACTATCTCACCCTCTCATTCACCCTCACTCACAACCCCCCAGTTAATTGCCAGCCTTTATGGGTTGTGTATTAATTCAAAGCCTTCTGGAAGACATTAAAGATATTCTGTATTATTAATGGACACCATATTTACAACTTAATTTAAACATGAGAATTTATGGTCAAACAGTATTCAGTTAGTACAATTTACTACAATTAGTACATTGTACTAGAATTTAGGACAATTCTAGAATTATGGCTTAGGGACAAAGGGACCCTGAGGTATTTTAAAATCTAAGAAATGGATTTTTAAAAAATGTTATTTTTAAATCTTATGATTACATTTTGAAGGGGAACTCCATATTACTTGTTTGCTTATTTTATCTCTAACCTTGCAGTTGATTATTTTGTAGAATCCTACTGAACTTGTTCCTGACACTGAGCCAAGACTAGACCAAAGTCCCAGAAGCAATCAGTTTCCCTATCAGGGCACACCATCTGGTAACATAATTACAAAACCTTTGATAAAATATATAGAAGTTCAAAGCTTCAGATCTGGCCTATTCTTTTTTTGTCACTTCTTATTAGTACTTTCCAACTGAAGGTGTTCCCTGATGGCTTTCAGTAGTGCCTAATATAGAAAGAGCGCAATATTGTTTGATTATTTGATTGCTAGTTAGATTTCAGCATTAATATTCATATTCTTCCAACTTCCTAAATTACCTAGTCTTGCTAAAGAGACCACCATCAAAAGAAAATACAGGGAAGGATGCAGTGGTGAAATGTAAAATTTGTTACTATCGGTTCTGTGGGCGTGGCTTGTTGGGGGGGGGTAATGTGACTGGGTGGGCATGGCCAACTAGTTTTTGTTTTTTTTTTAACTTTTAAAAGCATTTTTTCTACAACCTCTTCAGTCGAAGAGGTTGCAGGAAAAAAGGCTTTTAAAATCCTCTGACGATCAGGCAACTCAGCTGAGATCGTCAGAGCATTTTTTTTTCTACAACCTCTTCGGCCGAAGAGGTTGTAGAAAAAAATGCTTTTAAAAGCCTCTGACGATCCCAGCTGAACCACACGATCATCAGAGGCTTTTTTTTTAACTTTTAAAAGCATTTTTTCGGCCTCTGATCAACCTCTGATGATCGCGCGGCTCAGCTGGGCATGGGGGAGGGCGCAGGGATTTTTGCTACCGGTTCTCTGAACCACCCGCTGCCATCGCTACCGGATCGGGCGATCCGGTCCAAACTGGGAGCATTTCACCCCTGGAAGGATGTAATAAACAGATATAAACCAAAGATTAGGGATGATGGAGAAATAGCTTTGATGTGGGCTGAAACATGAACTTAGTTCACACTTTTAAAACTAAGTAAACCAAAATGAAGTTATGGATTCCACAAAGCATAAATAAAATAGTGTGTGTGTGTGTGTGTGTGTGTGTGTGTGTGTGTGTGTGTGTGTAGGAATTACAACTCCCCATGACTAGAGACAGTCTCTGCTATAATTCTTCTGCAATATTCCTAAATTAGTCATTAGAATTTGAATAGTCAATCAACTAATCGAAGGCGTATTAAATGTTTTCTGTAAGAATTCTTTGTGCGTTATTTATTTATTCTTACTTGGATATGAAAGCATAATTCACAGATCTCTACAAAGCACCTAACACATATCAGACAGCTGTCACTGATTCCTTAAAATTAGCTGGAGAATGAGAAATATACAAAAAGCTTCAAGACATCCACATTCTTTTCCTTAGTTCTGGGACTTTCCTTTCTCCCAACCCCATGCTCTTCAGGAATATTTTTCAAGTGACATCAACTAGACAGAGACACTTCTATAAGTCCAAATAGAGCTTTTAATTCCCCAAAACAATGTTGAATTGTATTAATAAATTGAGGTCAGGGTTTCTACAACACATTGAACCACAAGTTTAACCAGCCATTATTAATTTTTTTTGCCTAGAATATTGTGAAATCTGACTAAACTAATTAGTTTATTTAGTGTGAGGGGTCCGTAATGCTCTCTAAGCTTGGTTGTTTTCTTACAGATGTTTCATTACCCAAACTTGGTAACATCTTCAATGCATGGATAATGTTACCTAGTTACCTAGTTGAAATGTCTGCAAGAAGACAACCAAATTCAGAGAGCATCAGGGACCCTTAAATTCAACCCTTAGCTACAAATAATCTTCTTTATTGTGTTCGACAAACCAAAATTAATTAAGATAGTAATAATAGTTTTAAATTTCTGGGCATTTATATCTCGGAGGACCTCTCATGGACTATGAATGCTGACATACTTGTGAAGAAGGCACAGAAGAGGCTATACTTCCTGAGAATGCTCAGGAAGATAGATCTATCTCAGCATCTGCTTCTGTCCTACTATCACAGCACCATTGAGAGTGTCCTGACATACGGCATTCTTGCATGGTATGGGAGCAGCTCTGCAGCGGACATAAAAACTCTACAGAGAATTATTAAAACTTCCCAGAATATCATCAGGCTCCAGCTACCAGCCCTGGATGACATCTTCGAATCTTGCTGTTTGAGGAAGTTGCACAACATTCTCAGAGACTCTTCCCATCCTGCTTACAATCTTTTTGGACTCTTGCCTTCTGGCAGAAGATACAGAACAATTAAAACTCAGATCACATGTTTTCTGAATAGTTTTTATCCCAGAGCTATAATTGCACTCAACAATGAACTAAAGGGCCACCATCAGTGAACTGTTGGACAGCATTACTTGGTCTGCTGCGTGGATGCTTGGGTGGTTTAGGGGTAGGGAATTTTTGGTGGGTGAGGGTGTGTCTGGTGATTGTCATGTGTGTTGGGCTTGGTCTCTGGGTGTTATGTGAATTTTGTTGTATGGGTATACTGTGTATATATGAACAATGACAATAAACTTTATATAAAAAATAAAGATATTATTGGATAAGGATATTGTGCAGATACATTTGTCTAGTATATTGTCCTAATTCAACTTTCCTTATATGATCCTCACAGATATTTAGGAGGTGGATTAAGCTGAGATACCATAACTACATAATGTCATTAGGACCAAATATATACTAGAAAAGTATGTAAAAGACTTAAAGTCTGAGCATCACTTTGATAAATTATAAATAGCATGCAGAATCCTAGTTTGGATCTGGACAACATAGCAAGTAAGGTTTAAATTGTCTTTTCCATCTGCAGGATGGGTTAATACAGCACACTAGTTTGGTTGTTAAACCCAGACACTGAGAAACTTGGATAACAAGAAAATAAGTAGCACAGTGCTTGACTCCACATGCCCTGTGTTTTCTGAATGGCTGCAAACTCAAGGCTTGTGTAACATATTCATGCACAAATTAGCCATCCACATTGTAATCTAGTACAGGTAGTCCTCGACTTACGACCACAACTGAGCCCAGAATTTATGTTGCTAAGTGAAAAATATGTTAAGTGAGTTATGCCTCATTTTATGATTTTTCTTGCCACATTTGTGAAGTGAATCACTGCAGTTGTTAAATGAGTAACATGGTTGTTAAGCAGTGGTGAAATCTTCCTTGGATCACCACCAGTTCGCTGCCCACGCCTGTGCAGTGTGCACCAAAAGCACACTGCGCACGTGTAGCACATGCCAAAAGCACGCTGCGCATGCATGCACAGTCCACAGCAAATGTGCACTTCGCACGGGGGAAAAAAACTTCACTAGGTAAGTAGAACAGCGAGGGGGAAACAGCTGTGCTGCGCGATTTAGCTTTGCTAGAAAGCAGGATTTCCTGCTTTTTAGCGAAGCTAAACTGCTCGGCACAGCTGATCGTCGGAAATACCGGTTCGGATGAACTGATAGTTTTTATCACTACTGGTTCGCCCGAACCGGAGCGAACTGATAGCATTTCACCCCTGTTATTAAGTGAATTTGGCTTCCCCATTGACTTTGCTTGTCAGAAATTCTCAAAAGATGATCACATGACCCCAGGACACCACAACCATTATAAATATGAAACATTTGTCAAGCATCTGGTTGTAAATTACGTGATCATCGGGATGCTGCAATGGTCATAAGTGTGAAAAATGGTCATAAGTCATTTTTTTTCAGTGCTGTTGTAACTTTGAACAGTCACTAAACAAACTGCTGGAAGTAGAGGACTACCTGTATGTTGTAGCATCCCTATCCACTTAATTTATAGTTCAGTGTGTTGTGTGGATACAAATCCTGGAGTTAATTGTATGCTTAGTGCAAAATGTGGGATCAAGTACTTTCATATCTTACAATTCAAATTTGTCTGTGTATATTCTCCAGACTTCTGTCCCAAGAAGTAACTTACCGTATTGCATAGATGGAGACAGTCCTGGACAACAGTTGGAATTCTTTAGATATAAACTCCAGAGTATGCCTGTTTTCTAGCTGCAATATTATTTAAATTTCTCATTGCTTACACATGGAGCTTTAATAGATGAAGAAACTATGGCTCCAGTTAGAGATTCTTTCGTGCCTCTACCTTGTCTTTTGATGATTTTTTTGCCTCTAGCTAAAATAAAATTTAATTCAGAGAGGCCCCACCTTGGCAGTAACTTCTGTAACAACACAGTCTTTTTGAATAAAACAATGTTTATCTGAAAGAGAAGCAAATCATCCCGATCTGAGTTCTCTCATGTCTCTATAGAGTTGCAACTCCAGCTTTTAAACACAGGATAACCATGGAGGAGCTTTTGCGGCTGAAAGGGTTAAATGAAACCCAACTCTCTTTTTCCTGTGCTGTAAAGAATTAGTAATCAAACAGAAGCTGAAGGCAAGACAGAGTGTCAGAGCCACTGACGGAGCTCCAATCCGAGAGAAGCTGTGGACTTGGTCTCCTCACCCTCCAGAAGTGGCATCAGTGAGCACTTTGCCCTGATTGACAAGCAGATCCAGCATCAGGTAAGGAGGGTGGGTTTTGCATTACAGACTAAATCGTGGTGCCTCTCGCTGTCCACTCCTGGTTTAATCAGCTTGACCAACTTTCAAAAGTTAGACGCGAAAGAGTGTCATGCAAAAGGGAGAACATTTAGGGATAAATATCGTGATTTTTGGCAGGCGAAGAAGAAGGAATGTTTACATGTGAAATTAACTTACAGTTAACTCGTTCAGAGCCCCTTTTTTTCTAACCTAACATGAAGCTGTGATACTTCAATGGGGAGCAGGTAGCCTTGCTTGTTTCGTATGAGATGTCCTCCTTCCAACCTTGTACATTCAGTTCATACATTTAGTAGAGTTTGCATGTGCTATTTAAGACTGAGAGCACTTGTTTATAAGTGGGTTACTTGGTTTTTTTTCCCCCTGCACCTGCTTTGTCTCCATTCTGTGTATTTTGGAAGAGGGAAGCAGCCACAGGAATAACCAGACATTCCCGTGAATGCCAGAAGCCAAGCCAACTTGGTTTGCAGCAAGGCAAGCAGCTGTGGGTGACACAAATTGTGGTGGTTGCCATCGGCTGATGAAAGAATCGTGTTGCTACAGGCTCACATAGTTTTGGGAACAATTCCACAGATTATCTGGAGTGGAGCAGTTGTACGTGTGTGCTTGATCCTGAAAACAGATTTGGAATTTTGTTTTTGTTTTGTTTTTTCTCTTTCTCATTTATTTATTTATTTGAATGGGAGAAGAAAATTAAAAGTGCTGGCAGGCTTTCCAAGATCAGGATTTACATACTTGAATTCTTTATGCAGGTAGTCCTCAAATTACAACAGTTCATTTTAGTGATGTTTGAAGTTACAATGGCATTGAAAAAAGTGACTTATGACCGTTTTTCACACTTACGACCGTTGCAGCATCCCCATGGTCATGTGATCAAAATTCAGATGCTTGGCAACTGGCATGTATTTATGACGGTTGCAGTGTCCCAGGGTCATGTGATCATCTTTTGCAATCTCCTGACACACAAACTCAATGGGAAGCCAGATTCATTGACTAATTTTACTTTACTGTTACTGTTTTTTACTGTTACTAATTTACTAATTACTGTTACTAATTTAACAACTGCAGTGATTCACTTAACAACTGTGGCAAGAAAGGTCATAAAATGGGCAGAATTCACTTAACAAATGTCTTGCTTAGCAGCAGAAATTTTGGGCTTAATTGTGGTCGCAAATCAAGGACTACTGGTATAGCAAAGCAGGGAAAGAGGTATATGTTACTTCCTATCTCAAGGACTTATAGAGAGCAGCCTTTTAAAACTGATATTCTCCAAATACATTGGACCTTAACTTTCACAATTTGCATGCTACCAGGCTGTGATAGGAGTTCCAAACCTGGTATCTAAAGAGCATTAAAAGCTGATTCACTAACTGAGGTAAATGGGATGATAATTTTACCAAGCACAAGCCTGCTTCTAACGGTTCCATGAAATGTCAAGCATTCCAGTTATGTTCATTGAAGTTATATTGTAAAGTTGCCTTGTTCAGCCAAACGCTGCCACGGGTATGATAAGCTAGACCAAACATTGTAATATAAACAAAAATATAGCAAACAGCAGAAGCTTGATATTTAAAGCTGCAGCAAGTTAATGCAACAATCTTCAGCCTGCGGGCAGACCTGGAAGTCATCGGAAATCTTTTCCACTCTCCTTAGCAAAGCAGCAGCCTGCAATGGATTGTTCAGAGAAATAAGGTCACCCTGTTGCTTTATCCTTCCTTCCTGAACCAAAGGTTGGGAGAAATAAGGGCACAAGATAGCAACAAAACTCAGGATTTGTTAAGCAGAATGAGTTATCATGAATGGGAGTGTGTATGTTAAGATAACGTAACAATCAAGATGATGATCAGTGTAATTCCTAGAGGTACCCTGTTTCCCCAAAAATAAGACATCCGCTGATAATAAGCCCAATCAGGCCTTTGAGCACATGTGCTAAAATAAGCCCCCCCCAAATAAGCCCTCTCCGAAAATATTTAACCACATGCGCAGCTGGTCCCCGCCATTTCCTCTGGTTAGGGTTAGGGAGACAGAGCTGGAAATCAGGTAAGACAGCAAGAGGAGTCCCGTCTTGCTCCACGTGCCCCAAAATAATAAGACCTCCCCGAAAATAAGGCCAAGTGTTTATTTCTGGGTTCCAAAAAATATAAGACAGGGTTTTATTTTCAGGGAGACACAGTAGGTTTTGATGGTGTGAACATTATCCTTCAAAACCATGTTGATTTGGACCACAAAAGAGCCTGGTTCTTTCTATGTGGGTACTCAAACTTTTCCCACCAGGATTCCAAGCCAGTTTAATCCCAGAGACCTGAATCAACCTGAATAGCAGCAGATCAAAGGAGAGGATGATAGATTTGTACCATGAAACAGGAGAGTGGTGGTTTTCATAGTGCAACTCCCCAGGAATTCTATATATTGAATTTTTGAACACTACTGCTTAATAACAGCTCACAAGTGCAGAGCAGGCATATACACTGGCTCCCTCTCTCACATCATGCACAATGTCCATGCTCATAGCATTCTTAAACAGAGATTTAGTTCTGCCGAAAAGAGTGCTAAACCAGTGTTTAAAACTAAGCTGACAGGTATTATGAGAGATGAGCAGAGAAATGGAAAGCACTCCCCTGCATTGTGCAAACCTAACCTATTGTTGGGTTGTTTTTAAAAGGGGAGTCGTGTTAAATGTTGTTTGAAAAGCATTAATGTCAAACCCGTATTTCAAAATAGCCTGACTTAATTATTGGCACTTCACCATGCAGCCCTCCCCCCCCGCCACACACACACACCTGTCATTTGGAAATCAAACAAAACCTGGACCAAATTTTGACAGATGGCTAAAAGCAATGGACTGGCTATCTGTCAAAATTCCTCCCTGTCCTTATCCCATGTTAAGCGCTATCCACCAGTCATTAAATCGATATAACTAAGCCAACATAGAATTTAATGCCCCCTTAATAATTCCTGTCCTACCAGCCTGGTTAGTTAAGCAGATTTTATATCTATGATAGAAAAAAAATGATGCATTTAAGGAAATAGATGATAGGAATGGGTAGCTAGCACTTAACTAGCTACCAAGAAGAGGGAGAATTTCTTAGGAAGTTCAGAAGCTCTCTTTGTGCTCGTGCTTACAATCTCTTCTTGTTATCTGACTCAAAGAGACATATTTGGTCATATAAGCAGCTGAGTCTCCTTTGCAAAACGTAATCTGCTTTTAAAGACATTTTACCAAACAGGATGCACTAAGAACTTTTATCAGTCACTACGAGATTAATAGTGAGTTGGGTCACACTGAATTCTAAACCACAAATTGATCTATAGACAACAATGGCTAGTTTCACACATATCATATTAAAACCAATAAAGACAAATGTAGTACAACATGTGAATTTAGCTAATATTTCCTCTTAAATTTGGACTTGGATCAGATCCCCAATTCCTATGAAAACATTTGTGTAAGTGGGAATGTAGAACTGGTATCTGATATGATTGTCAGTTATAAAAGTGGCTTAATAACACAGCACAATTTCATGAATCCAATCAGGATCAGAATAGTGTCAGTCACCTCTTCCATGATGTCTGTATGCTGTGTTGAAAATCATGGTTACCTAGACATTTGCTCACTTGAATGTACACAGTCCCCAACTCAGTGCAATCAATACATTACAACATGAACAAATGTGAAAATGTATACAAACACACACACATTGTGACAGTGATACCTATATGTGATAGGTGCTACATAGATGGCTTCGCAATTAACTTGATATAAACCAGCTCGCCATCCTTTTTGTATGGAGATCTGTGTCACTAGAGGCAAGATTTCGTCTGTATAGGCACAACAGCAGGAAAAGAGTGCATTTTTCATGGAAATTATAAAGTTCCTGATTCAAGTGGTCTTACCTGCAAGGTTGGAGCCTGCTGGTTGCCTTCATAATGGACTAGCTGTCTGGCTGAGTACAAGGCAACTTCCTCTGTTTAGCACAAAATAATGAAGTTCAATTACAGCCCACATTATAATGTTTAAGATATTATAATTAAACTGATTGCTAATCTAGAATTTTTATGAGTGTAGGGATGTGCTTCTTTATTGTGCATAGGTGGCAATGCATTCATTACATCAGTGATCTGTCCAACGTGAAACACAGTAAATGGAGCAAAGAATAAACATTTTCCTCTGACCCTGATTTCTTTTAATTCAGATTGGGGAAACAAATACCTTGGGGAGAAATCAACACTTTCTGTGTCTCTACCTCCTTGGCATGTGGTTCTTAATGATGATCCATAGAACAGTGGTCTACCAATAGGTCATCATTACACTGAAAATGACCTTTGATCACTTTTTAAAAATCATTTGGTATATTATGATTACACTTAGCATACAAAAAGGCACAAGGTAATGACAAAACTTTAATTCACAGCAAATAATTTCATGGTGGCCTGCACTTCTAAAATGTGAACATCTTTTTCATTTAACAAATTAACTCTTTTGGGATGCTTTTCCTGCATTTACTGGTTGAATTCACACAGGCAAATCCCAATAGTTAACAGACTCTGGAAATAAACATAGACTGCTATGTGCCATTTCACCATTCAAGGCATCCTATACATTGAGTTTTATGTATACATCCTACACATAGAACTCAATGTACAAAATTATTTACTGTACTTATATTTCCAAAAACTTCACTGGGACAGAAAGGCCACCACTTTAGAAGATTTATACGCAATTTACATGATAGTGTTATCAAAATGTAAATCCAGTGTGGCCTCTGTCATTTGGTTACTGAACAGACCCTCTCAATTAATTTGTGTTTCTCATATATTGACATTTGGACAGGGATTCATCTGGTCAAGTTCTAGTTTAGAAACAGATAAAGTTACCTTATTAGAAATAGATAAATGATAAAAAAAGAGGTGTGTTTTACTCAGTGCCAGATCCAAAAGGAACCTTATGTAATTTTTGAGGGCTT